ATTCAGGTATATCACAGAATTGTCACAAAATCAGTATCTGGTTATAACTTTCAAAAACAGCTTAAAAGGTGCCTTGCAGACGTGTCATATGCAGCAGAAGCTTTGGGGAGAAAATCTGCTGGTGTCATTACTTCTCCAAGCTTCCTCCCCAGGTCTCCCATTCCCTCCTCCCCCAGCATCCCCGGCTACACGATCTGCGGGCAGCTCGATGTAGGGGAAGCTTGTCTTGACTGCAATGCAAACCCTGTCCGGGTCTGAACCAGGGAAGGCAGACTCGGCCCTGGCCGGGAGTGTCGACGAAGGCTGCAGGGAGGGCTGCAGGGGCGCCAGCAGCGGGTGGGCAGGGGTGCCCCGCGAGGGCAGTCCGCAGTGCACGCGCACAATAAAACCCAATGCACAACTTCCCCAGCCGTTCCTCTCCGCTTCCCGGATTCCCTGAAAGGTGCGGCGTAGGCGTTAGCTCGCGCGGGCGCAGGCGCTCTCACCCGCGCCGGTTAGGTTTTCCGCTGACAATTACATCAGTCCTTCTCCCGGCCCCTGCTTCAATCCCCAGGCAGCCTGCGGGGCGCAGGGGCGCCGGCCCGCGCGAGAGACTGCGGGCGCTAGTGCCAGGCAGCCGGAATTCCCGGCGAGGGAGAGGGAGGGCGGCAAACCGGGACCGCGACACAGACGCCCCCTCCCATCCCGGCCGCGGGAATGGGCTGACACAGCCGCCCCCGACTTCCCTGTAGCCCGGCTATCCCGCTGGGGACGCCTCCAGGGGGACGGCCATGCCCTGGTGGCCCGGGGCTGCGGGTGCCCACCCGCGCGTCCCTCAGGGTCCTCGGCCCGCCGGAGGCGCACAATGCCCCGGGCCGCGATGCGGGCACCGTGGCTCCCGCCCCAGGCATCCCCTTTGCAGCTAGGACACCTACCTGGAGCGCGAGCGGCGGCGCCGCGGGTTTTGCGGCGGCTGCGCGGCTGCGGCGGGAGGCGGGAGGCAGCCCCGGCAGGCGGACGGGCGCGCGGGCTGGCGGAGGAGAGGAGGCACGGTCTCCAGCACCAACAGCGGCGGCAGCGACCGTGCTGCGCCTCCAGTGGTCCGCCGCGCCGCAGCCCCTCCTCTCCCACGGGCGGGGCGCGCTAGCGGGGCGGTGCTCCGGGCTCCCCGCCCCCGGCTCCCGCCCGTCCGCCCGGCTGGAGTGGAGCCGCCCGCGGCCGGGGCTCCCGTTGCGCACCCACCCTACCAGGCGTCCCTCCCTGCTCCACCGGACGGGCCGGGGACACGGCGCACTGCGCCCCGGTCACGCGGGGTCCCACAGCCGGGGCTCTCCCCGGCCTCCGTGGGAACCCCTGGTGTCCCGAGATCACCCGCCGTGGAAACCCCAGGCTGCCATCCGCGGGCCTGCGCGCTGTAGCGAAGCCCTAGCCCGCGCAGTACGGCGGAGGTGGGCCGGCAGCGCTCGGCAGGGGTATCCCCGAACAGCTCCAGCGCTCGATCCCGGGAGCGCCGCGGCCGGGAGCATTGCGGGAGACCTGATTCCGAAAGGAACGGCTGCCTGACGGCCTCCGCTCGGAGCTGCCAAGCCCGTGTCCCTGGGCGCCCTTCTTAAGGCCGTCGTTTCATACACACGCGCGACTGTGCGGTCCTGCTCTCCACCCTGACTCACTTGGGAGCAAAAACTTCCCGGGCCCAGAGAAATACTTCGATTCTGTGAAAGGAAGAGCCGGTTCCTTCAAGCCCCTGGCAACGCCCATCAAAATCATTCAGTCCCACCTCACTACAACCCTTACCCTCAAACCCTTCCACACTCCAAGCCACTCCCGGCCTGCGTCCCGAGAGCGGATTAATCTAAAGGCAATTTTGCTGGGAGAGACAGGGTAATTTAAATATTTGTACAGATATTCTGTAACGAGTGGCTGAAGACACGTCAATATTTCAAGACATTTGTGTCATCATCTGGGAGTAGGAGGTGGTGGGGCGTCCAGAGGACATTGACCAGACCTAACAGGAGCCATTACAGAACATGCTGGGGTGCCTGCAAAAACCGAAGATATTGCTTACTAATGAGGCAACTGTGATGGCATCTCATTGTTCCCTGTGCTGACAAAATAATTTCCTATGAAACATAGTCGACTATGCACTCCTTTCCACATGCAGTTTCTTTGGAATCTCCAATCGCACCTTTGGATTAGCGTTTTCCACCTAGACTGCAATGTTCTTATGTCCTCTGGCCACAAACTAAAAGATGCGGGACCCTGTGACAACGGCAGCTACTCGTTCATTCCTTTGCTGTGAAGACAGGATTCTCAAGGGAGCAGCTGGGATGCTGACCTCTGCTTGATCGCAGCCACCTTTCTACTCCTCCTTCTGAGTTCCATTAACAGAAACTCTACTGAAATGGCTTTCTCCCTGAAAAGAAAAAAGCTCAACCCGTATATTTAAAAAGAAACAAAAGTGTGAACCAAAATGAGACACTACACATAGCACACAGAATCTTTACCTAAAGAAGTTCTCTAGGTCAGGTGTGATGGTTCATGCCTGCAATCTCAGCACTTTGGGAGGCCAAGGCGGGCGGATCACTTGGGGTTAGGAATTCGAGACCAACCTGACCAACATGGTGAAACCGCATCTCTACTAAAAATACAAAAATTAGCCGGGTGTGGTGGCAGGCACCTGAAATCTCAGCTTCCCAGGAGGCTGAGGCACGAGAATCACTTAAAACTGGGAAGTGGAGGTTGCAGTGAGCCAAGATTGTGCCCCTGCACTGCAGCCTGGGCTACAAAGTGAGACTTTGTCTTAAAAATAAGAAAAGAAGAAGGGGAAGAAGGAAGAAGAAGAAGAAGGAGAAGGAGAAGGAGAAGGAGAAAAAGAAGGAAGAAGAAGAAGAAGAAGAAATCATCATCATCTAATTTTTTCTCTGAACCCCTAATAGCACAGAGCCATAAACTATGGAGGAAGAGAGGGAACTACCACAACCTAAGTCTCATGTTTTAGTGTAAGAATGCTCACACACTTTTCACTCTATTCCATAGTATCTATGTGTGTTTTAATACTTCTAAAAAATGGTTTTAAACATCAGGGGGAAAAGTCTCCCCCCCTCATTGATTAATGGTCAAATAAGAGATAATGGTACTATACACATCCATCTGGGGAAATGGGTGAATTAAACTCAGTGGGCTGTATGGAGCTACAGATCAAGGCAGTTTCTCCACCCTATTTGTGCCTCATTGTATTTTGAAAACTCAGACTCGCATAGATATAAATATGAATAACAGTCTTTCACAGATTTTTTAGCTATGGCAGGATTATTGCTCAGAATAGTGCCAGAGAGTGATGTTTTTATTAAGTATATATTCTTGCTGAGAGTTAAAGTCACAAATCATATGTTGACTAAAAGGATCTCTGCTCCCCTAATCCATCCCTTTTGTCTCAGAAAATACTTGTTCATGGACTTTTCCAGTGAAGAAAGATAATGATGTTCTTAAAAGGCTATCGATGTTACAATTCCCCGTAATTCCATCACATACAAATAAACTGAGCCTTAGAGGAATCATAGTTTCCACCATCAGTTCATCCAAGTCCCACTTCATTTTCATTGTATTTTCTTAGATGAGTACTATTTTAGCTGGGGTTTCTAAAGAAGGCTGAAGTGCTAATGCTCCCTTGAAAAATGCAAAGCCAGGGCAACAACTGAGGAATACAAGAAATTAGGGAAGAATGGAAAGCAAATACATGGTGATATGTTACCAGTCTGGTCCATGCTTCATGAACCTGAAAAGACACAGCCAGTTGCTTAGCCATGCAAAGTGTCTGTGGGCAGGCTCTATAGAAAACTGTGCCCAAGATCTTTCTTAATCAAAGAAAAGATCAAGGAAGAAATTCACCTACAAGCTACCTGCCATTTCCTCCAGCTTCCGGAATGAGTCCTCATCTGACCCCTTTGAGAAACAAATCTCATGCTCGGCAGCCAAGGTATGGTCATTGTACTGGATTGTTCTGTAGGCAACATGGTTATGCTGGAGACTATGTTTCCCCAAATCCCCTTTTGTATATGCTTCCAGATGGACAAAATTGAAGTTGCCTGAGACTTAGGAGGCAACACTGAAGCAGCAGTTTCATTTGTCTCTCACCATCTCTAACCAATGATGACTTTCATTACATTCTGACAGTCATCATTGATTAGAGGTGGCGAGAGACAAATGCCATTTCTAACCAATAAGAATAGATGCAGGAGAGTTCCTGTTTTATTCTTCCCTGCTCTTTATCCTCCTCTAACAAGTAATTGTGGCCACAGGCCAGCTAACAGACTTTTCACAGAAACTCACAGAGACAGCAGTCACAAAGACCCATCAACCTTCTGAAGATGTCTACACCAGCCATGATGTGCCTAGCCTAATATCCAGATTTCCCTGCAAGCTTGGACTCCTCTGCCCAAATCAGAACTGGTCTCTGATCCCTCAACACTCCTTTTCAGACTTTTAGACTTTTACTTCTCCTACTTCTCCCACAAATGTGATATAATGTCTTTTCTTTTTCTTTCCTTCCCTCCCTCCCTCCTTTCCTCCCTCCCTCCCTCCCTCCCTCCCTCCCTCCCTCCCTCCCTCCCTCCCTCCCTCCTTTCTTTCTTTCTTTCTTTCTTTCTTTCTTTCTTTCTTTCTTTCTTTCTTTCTTTCTTTCTTTCTTTCTTTCTTTCTTTCTTTCTTTCTTTCTTTCTTTCTTTCTTTCTTTCTTTTCTCCCTCTGTTGCCCAGGCTGGAGTACAGTGGTATGATCTCAGCTCATTGCAACCTCCACCTCCTGGGTTCAAGCAATTCTCCTGCCTCAGCCCCCCGAGTAGCTGGGATTACAGGTGCCCACCACCATGCCCAGCTAATTTTTTATATTTTTAGTAGAGATGAGGCTTTACCAGGCTGGGCTTGAACTCCTGACCTCAGGTTATTTGCCCACCTCAGCCTCCCAGAGTATCAGGATTACAGGTGTGAGCCACTGTGCCCAGCCCGAATTTCTAAAATAAATTCCTTATTCAACATACTCACAATAATCCTGGTTCCCTGATAGAATCCTGTCTGCCAGAAGCTTAGGCTGGCTCTGCTTCAGGAGGCCTGGACAGGAGCAGTCACTTGGGGACGATTGAGGCAGGGCAAATAGCTAAGAAACCTGGAAAACATGAGGCCAGGAGACTCTAAGAACAAGCTCTACCATGCTTTATTCAAGTAACACAAAATATTCATAGTTTTGCCTTGTATTTGTTAACTGAGAGAGTTCAGCTTTGAAGATGTTATTATTGCTAAATTAACCTATTTTGATTAATCACTCATATCATCAAAAGGAATGATGACTTATTTTTTGCTTTTGTTGAGATGTTGTTTTGACTTTTTTAACTTTTAGTGTGGAAAATAACAGATCAAACCTCAGTTGGAAAATTCTGACCAGTACCTTTCCCCAGCGATGGAAACATCCTGAGTTTCCCTTTTTGTTATAGATTTAAATGTAAAGACGAGAGTATTCCTTTGTAATGTACCTTTGTAAGATAGATTTTCTTTCTTTCTTTTTTTTTTTTTTTAACAAATTTACTATTCGTACAATGCCAAAAGAGCACAGTGAGAAAATCAAAAGGCAAACCCTTTGAAATAATAATTTCTGGCAAGAAGAATACAATGTTCCCTAGTGCTTTGAGGGGTGAGGGGCCTTGATCTACTCTTACCTGCAGTCTGTTCATTGGTCAAATTTGGTGTCACCTTTGAATATGTGCATACATTTATTTCTCCGATTGATAGAATGCTCCCTAAAAATAACATATTTTGTTGAAACTTTTCTTACCAAGATTATTGCTGTCAAGAACTTCTGGGTAAGCATCCAGCAAGTTTAGAAGTCCAACCTTCAGGTCCTCAACTCCATTTGGTCCTTTACCCTTTATTCCCACACTCTTATCATCTGTCCAGATGACTTGCTGATCCAGCCCAGAGAAGATTATTACATCTACTTCCGAGTGAACCTTTCATTCAGCGTGCCTATCAAAGTGCCAAAAATGATAGAGAATTGAGATTTTACTGAGCTTATCTGGACAGGTTAAGATGTTATAGGGAAAGGGTTGTGTATCTGTTTCATTTATTTAATTCAATAATAATTTCTGAGTGCCAGCTACATATTAGGCATTATTCTAGATGCTTGAGATATTATAAGTAAGCAAAACAAAGACCATACCCTCATGGAACTTACATTCTAGCTGGGGAATATAGATAATAAACAATAGGCCTAATAGATGAGTAAATTACACAGTATATCAGAAACTCATAAGTGATATGGAAAATGTAAGAAATTGAGCATGTTAAGAGGGATGGAGGAGGGTTGCCAGGGTGCAATATTAAATAAAGGCCAATGTTGGCCACAGTGGGAAGATGGAGACATTTAAGCAAAGAATTAAAGGAGATGAGAGAGTTAGTCAAGCAGGTATCAGGGAATGCCAGGAAGGGCTGCTCCCATTCCAGACAAGGAGGCCATCAAGTGGAATGAGCATGCCTAGTATTCCAGAGGGGCAAGGAGGCTGAAGCATGTAGAACACATGGATGAAGAGAGTGAAGTAATTGAGGCCAGCTCATGAAGGCCCTGTAGGCCATTATTTGGACTTGGACTTTTACTCCAAGTGAGATGGGGATTAATCATAGGATTCCATGCAGAGGAATGAAATTGTTTGACTCATGTTTGTGAGAGTAACTGTGGCTGCTGTGTTGAGAATAGTCTCAAGGTGGGCAAGGCTGAAAGGAGAGAGGAGGCTGTGGCTGTTATCCTGGTGAGTGGTAAAGGTGACTCAGCACCAGGTGGTAGAGTGGAGGTGGCAAGAACTGACAGAATTTAATGTGTATTTTAAATGTAGAGCCAATTGGATTTTCTGATGGATTGAGTTTCTGATGGATTAGATCTTATTGATAAGTGTTTGCATGAATTATGATTAAAACTTATTTTTGGCGGGCATGGTGGCTCACGCCTATAATCCTAGTACTTTGGGAGGCCGAGGCAGACGGATCATTTGAAGTCAGGAGTTCAAGACCAGCCTGGTCAAAATAGTGAAACCCCATCTCTACAAAAATACAAAAATTAGCCAGGCTTGATAGCAGGTGCCTATAATCCCAGCCACTCAGGAGGCTGAGACAGGAGAATCGCTTGAACCCAGGAGGCGGAGGTGGTAGTGAGCTGAGGTCGCACTGCTGCACTCCAGTCTAGGTGACAGAGCGAGACTCCATCTCAAAAAAAAAAAAGACTTATTTTCATTGTACTAGTAACTCATTGGTGAGGTTATGGGGAGAAAATGCAGGGCTCTCCTACCTCCAGCTATCAGGAATGCTGACCACTGGCAAAGATCCTAATACATGAGAGTGACCATTACACTTGCTGCCCCCCAACACAGCAGTGCTCAGTTCACTAGACTTTTGTAAAACCCAAGCTCCAACAAGGATTAGTCCACATGGAAAAGTGGAATGTTCTAGTATACATAGGACAAACCCCATAGGAAGTTTTTCTCCAAAATTGTTGCATAAAATTAACAAAGTAGAACCCACTGCTTCATATCCCAGGGTCTAATTTTAGAAAAGTAGACTTTTTTGTAAGTAAACTCAGACACAGAACATATCTATTCAGCCCACAGGCCCCTTCAGGGGACTAGATGCTTAAGATTTCCTTGTTATTACATTAGCCCCTCCTCTACTACATTAGTCTGCTTTCCCTACAGAGGAGCTCAACCTTCTTGATTGACACAGATGCTAAGAGCGTGAAAAGCTCTCCAAAAAACAGAGATTCTAAACCTAGTACAAACCTTTTCTAGTTGTTTCACTTTGAACACATTCTGAACCTCTAGGTTCCAGGTTGTTCCTTTATAAAAGAGTTGGAAAAAAAACTTCCAAAACCTAGTAAGATTGTTGTAGAGTGGTTACTGTAATGTGTAAAGCACCCCATATATAGAAGGCTCTGGACAAAAGTTAATTGGGTTATTTCTGCCTTCCAAAAGTCCACATGAGTCTTTAACCCATTTTGAGTTGATTTTTGTATTTGGTGTGAGATAAGGGTCTAATTGCATTCTTCTGAATGTGGATATTCAGTTGTCCCAACACCATTTATTAAAGAGAATGTCCTTTCCCCACTATGTGTTCTTACCCTTGTCAAAAATCAATTGATCATCAAAGTGTGGGTTTATTTCTGGATTCTCTGTTCTGTTCCATTTTATTAGTCATATGTCTGTTTTTATGCCAGTATCATGCTGTTTTGACTACTACAGCTTTTAATTATATTTTGAAGTCAGGCAATGTGATGCCTCCAGCTTTGTTCTTTTTGCTTAGTGTTCATTTGGCTGTTTAGAGTCTTTTGTGGTTTCATACAAATTTGAGGATTTTTCTATTTCTGTGAAAAATGTCATTAGGATTTTGACAGGAATTGCATTGAATCTGTAGATTGCTTTGGGTAGCATGGACATTTTAACCATGTTAATTCTTCCAATCCATGAACATGGGCTATCTCTCCACTTATTTGTGTCTTCTTCAGTGTTTTTCATCGTGCTTTATATATTTCGGTCCACAGGTATTTACCTCCTTGGTTACCTTTATTCCTAAGTATTTTATTTTTTTGCTATTGTAAATAGGATTTTTAAAAATTCCTTTTTGAGGTCATTCATGTTTAGTGTATAGAAACACTACCAAATATGTTCTATCCCCCTGCCTTGACAACTGTATCTTTGTAATGATCTGGAAGGAATTTAGAATTTTTAAACTTGTAGTTTTAACCAGACAACTTGGCAGTGCAGGAGGATATAGCCCTGGATCCAGCCTGTGTCTCTTCCCTCCCCACTTCCAGCTCTGACTCATCCCAAGAGGGGAGGGTTTTGATGCTCCCACATAGGGACAATCCAGTTCCCACATCCAAGCTCTGTGTACACTTTCCTCAAACAGCTTCCCCTTAGCCTCAGCATCTGAGGTATCCCAGAGTGCAGTGTGGAAGAGGGACAAAGGCTCCGGGTGGGCAGGCCTCCTGTACATCTCTTGCCTAAAGGGAGGTTCATGGCTGGAGGAGATCCAGAAAAGACCTTTAAAACACGGGTCCCACAGCAACGGTCCCCTTGCCTGACACAGAACAGTTTGCTCTCCATTTAGATTTACCTGGCTTAACTTCAACATTTCCTGGGAGGAAAAATTAGTTAAACCAGTTGCTTTACATGTATAAAACTTGTCAGTCTTTCTACTTTATTATTAAACTTCATCATTACAGAAATTTAAAAATATTCAAACCACTGTTTATATCTGAACTTCTAAAAAAACTGTTTTTAATTTTACCTGAAGATATTAATAAACAGTGATAGTTAAATTCTTCTTCTTTTTTTTTTTTTAAACAGAATCTTGCTGTGTCCCAGGCTGGATTAAAGTGGCGTGATCTCGGCTCACTACAACCTCTGCCTCCTGGGTTCAAGTGATTCTTCTGCTTCAGCCTCCTGAATAGCTGGGATTATAGATGCACATCACCACATCTGGCTATTTTTTTGTATTTTTAGTAGAGACAGTGTTGCCATGTTGGCCAGGCTGGTCTCCAATTCCTGACTTGAAGTGATCCACCAGGAACTTAAGTGGATCTTCAACTTCAACCCTCCCAAAGTGTTGGGTTTACTGGCATGAACCACCATGCCCGGCCAAATTGTTCTACATAGGATACAGAAAAGAAATTGCTTAAAGTAATTCATAATTTATGGATTCTGTTTCTGTTCAAATTTAATTTGCAATTTAAGCAGATAGAGACCAATTTCTCTTTAAGAAGGTGTGCCTTTGACATCTGAAAACTAAATGTATATGAATGAGTAAAACAATATAGCAAGCCCTCCAAACTTTTATTAAAGAAGAGATCCAGAAATAATTGTCAAGATGGGGAAAGATCTTGGCTCTGTTTCACTGAGATTCATCTTCCTTGGGTTTCGTCATCTCAATTCCCTTGACACATCCACTCCTGACTCCTAGGAATTCTGGCCCAAACACGAAGCTCCTTTTTTTGATTCCATTGAGCAGAGCTGACATGTGCCGACATTTCCAAAATATCTTCATTAAACAGTAAAAGCAAAGTAAATGGAAATAACTAAAGGAAAATTTATATAATTTAAATATGGCCAGCTTCATTTCCAGAGTAAGGCTTTGACTTCTGAGTCAATGAGCTGTATTTTAACACCCAGTGGTTATTATTTTCCAGGTAGCTCACATGGTTTTCTTGCCCTAAGGATTTTCTGCCTCTCTCGTGGCTGGGGGTCTCTGGCCATCATCTCATCTTTCCAGTTCCTCAGAAATAATTTAATTATCCACTTTATCCAGTCCTGTGGATGAGAATCCAATTCCCAGATGCATATTGATAGCTTCCTTTGGAAGCTCTCACACAGGTCCTGTTTTTAATTAGAAGGAACCAGTCTCAGGAATAGTCTCTTGCAAAGCGAATTGTGAAGATTTTGTTAATTTATAAACAATAAGTAAACTTAAGTGATCAACTCTCTCCACAGCCAAATAACTCAGAAGAGACATTTCTCCTTTCTCCAAACATAGGGAAATGAACTAATCTGTTATCAATTTCCCATGAGGATATATTGACCACAGACCAATAAGCATGCAAAGTCATAGTATTAGTTCGGCCCAAACGAGAGTTAGTTTAAAACAGTTTTTAGGTAAATTCCCTTAATTACTGCAGTCAGGGAAGACAATTAATGTTATTATGAATAAAACATAATAACCCTCTCTTTTTTGCCCAGTCAGGATCTCATTTTAAAGTAGAACACAGTTTAGAGGCCAGGCGCAGTGGCTCATGACTGTTATCCCAACACTTTGAGATGTCAAGGCAGAAGGATTGCTTGAGCTCAGGATTTTGAGGAGACCAGCTTTGGCAACACCATAAAACCCCATCTCTACTCAAAATACAAAACATTGGCTGGATGTGGTGGTGCACACCTGTGCTCCCAGGAACTCGGAAGGCTGAGTTGGGAGGACTGCTTGAGCATGGGAGGCAGAGGTTGCAGTGAGGTGAGATCATACCACTGCAATCCAGGTTGGATGATAGAGTGAGATTCTGCCCCAAAAATAAATATAAATAAATAAATAAATAAAGTGGAATACAATTTAGAAGTGTGCTGAGCAATGTAGTATTCACTAGTCACATGTGGCTATTTAAATTTTCGTCAATATTAGCTAAAATTCGATGAAATTTAAAATTGTGTTCCACAGTTGAACTAACCACATTTCAGTGCCCAGTAGTCACATGTAGCTTGTGGCGACCCTATTGACAATGCAGAAAAGAACATTTCCATTACCATAGCAAGTTTTATGGGACAACTCTGAACCAGAAGGTATTCTTTTTTTTTTTTTTTTTGAGGCGGAGTTTTGCTCTTATTGCCTTGTTGCCTAGGCTGGAGTGCATTGGCACAATCTCTGCTCACTGTAACCTCCACCTCCCAGGTTCAAGCAATTCTCCTGCCTCAGCCTCTCAAGTAGCGGGGATTATAGGTGCCCACCACCAAGCCTGGCTAATTTTTTGTATTTTTAGTAGCAATTCTCTTGCCTGAGCCTCCCAAGTAGCTGGGATTACAGGCATGTGTCACCACACCCAGTTAATTTTTGTATTTTTAGTAGAGACGAGGTTTCATCATGTTGGCCAGGATGGCCTCAGGCTCCTGACCTCGTGATCTGCCCACCTTGGCCTCCCAAAGTGCTGGGATTACAGGTGTGAGACACCACGCCCGTCCTTCAAAATATATATGATATGTATATATTTTATTATATATGTTGGAATGCATATATATAATGGGATGTTATATATATAATACCCCATTATCTATATTTGTGTGTGTATATATGTATTCCTATATAATATTCCATTATATTTACAATATATATCATATATCTGTAATCTCAGCTATTTGAGAGGCTGAGGTAGGAGGATTGCTTGAGCCCAAGAGTTGAGGCTGAAGTACACTATGATTATGCCTGCCAAGAGCCACACAAAGCAATCTCATGACTATGGAAGCAACATTTCTGAAAAAAATAAGAAAAGAAAAAAACAAAACCAAAAAACTTCAGTATTATTCAGTAACATGGTAAAATTATAATATACAAACCCAAGTAAGATTTATTTTTTAAATGCAAGGGTAATTTAAAAATAGAGTGATTCATTGCTATAATGGATATAAGGAGGAAAAAAACCATAACATAGTTTCTTTATATGCCAAAAAGCATTTGATAACATTCAAATGTTACTACTGGTTTAAGAAAATTAACCTCCTAACAGAATAATAGGAATAAAAGGAAACTTCCTTGACATGGTAAGAGATAGTTACCTAAACCGGAAAGCTAGCATTATGCGGAATGGGTAAATATTAGAAGCATTCTCATCAGTCAGGAACAAGTCAAGGGTATTCTAGAAGTTTAACACATGATAATTTAAGACTATCCTAGAGGTATTAGCTAAATTCAGTTAGAGACAAAAAAGAGTTAAGATGGGGTATAATTATCGTAACTTGAAGATGATATGATTTTATTATTGGAAAATCCAGAAAAGTTACTATCACAAATAATAAGATAATACAATAAAGTTGTTAGCTATAACACAGTTATATAACAGTGAACATATGCACTGCTCTCTTTAATCAATCAGAGTGTTTCAAAGGGATGGGGGTCACAATGATTAGTGTGGGCCAGTTGGGCTGACACCGCAGTTAGCATTGAGGCAAATCACATTTAAACAGCTTGGAATGGACTGCTCCCCACTCTTCTACCCCGACCCCCTTCCCAAATTTAAGGGGTGTTCACAAGGAAAAGGAGAAATGGATACTGGATGGGCAATAACACATGTCCACTCTACCAAAGAAGAATTAGACATTTTGGATAAAATTAGGAGCTACTATTAATCTCCTCTCATAAAATGGGTCTATAAGAAATAGTATAGTGGTTACTAAACAAAGATATTTAAAAGGAATCTAGCAAGAATAGAAAATGTGCTAGAATTTTTATTTCCTCCAGTAGTATTTAAAATGAAGTAATTGTGTCTCAAATCCTGATAAATAGTAACATGCTGCGTTACCCGTTCCATCTTACTGCCTTTCCTCCTCTGTTGTTTATTTTCTCTTTTGGCACATAAAATTGTCCAGATGAGCCATCTAGGAAGGGTACATTAATTCAACTGGGCGTATGTGAGCATTAAAGGCTTGTGACTCACACTGTTACATAAAGAATGCTGAATGTGTAAGGGCAATGCTGTAATGAACGTGTGAGGCCAATAACTTTTTAATAGATACATCATTTGGTAATTGTAGATTATTGGATCCCAAATACCTTGCTCATTAACAGGTGCTCATATATTTCAATGACTCTTACTCTCCTTGGATGGTTTAAAACAATACTTTTTTAAAGAGCCTAGTTAAGTGGTCTTCTGATCTTTTATTCAAGATGATTTTTATAATAGCAATAATTATATTGCATTGACAATGTTTTCATGACTTACAAATACAGAAGTTTCACAATGGCCTTTAAAAGTGTACTTTGGCTAAGCATTTTTAAAAACAAGTTACTTTGGGTGTCAGGAAGATAATTGGGAATTTCTTTCTCAGAATAAATTGTTCTTCACTAGATTACAATTCACTATCTGTTTATGTTAGATAGAAAATAGAATTTTTATGATCCACCACAAACTCGAATGAATTATAGTAATATGGCAGTGGAGAGATGATAGGTATCGTTTGTGTGTGGGAAGCATTTGGCAACATGCTTTGATGGATTTCATCCCGATACTTCTCCAACTGGTATTACTGGGTTTAGGATAATAATTTTTTGAAGTTCTAAGTTCTATTAAACATTTTTAAATATAAAAGAGCTAAAAAAATTATTTATGGTAATAACTCAGGAAAAGCTTGTGAAAGCAGATAATGTAACTGTTGTTTGAATTTTAATGCCTCAACCTTTAAATTATAAATATGTAATTTCATGGAAAACATTCATTTGTAATATACATTTATATTATAGTTAATACACATGCTAGTTTGATACATCAAAATGATTATAATGCTATTTAATATGCAGAATATAAAAATTATTGCATGCTATGACACATACTAAGTCAGACTCAAAAATTTTATTTTTAACATGATCTAAAATACTATTTTTTCTCTCACCTTTTTAAAAGGCACGGAATAAGGAACAGACAATGAAAAGCACATTTGGCTGAAACTAAAATAAAATACAGTACTTTTAAACAATCAGGTTTTTTTTAATAGTTGATGCAAGCACTTTATGGTAGATAAAAAAGGGTACAGTAAGAAAAATAGCTCTTTTTCTTCCCTGCTGCCAGGGGTTCAGCTCTTCTTGCTGGAGGATACACTATTACCAGCTTTTGTTTTTTCCAGAGCTGTTAAATGCAAAGAAGCTAATGCATGGGTAGAAATTGTATAAACAGTATCACTGTACACATACTGGGGTTTTTTAATTGAAGAACACCTCTGGGAAAATATCCCATATTAATGCCCACAGAAATATGTCTAGTAGGTACATAGTACCGTTATAATAATAATAATAATATAATGGAATATAGAATTCAATTTATTTTAGTATTAACATTAGTGTTAAGAGGTTATAAATGAACCAAAATTCTTCATTTATCATTAAGAATCTGATACAGGCATTTAAATTTTTCAGTTATACTTTACTATGGTCTGAATGTTTGGGTCCTCCCAAAATTCATACTGTATGTTGAAATCCTAACATCCAAGGTGATTGATGGCATGAGGGGATGGAACCTTTGAGAGATTATTAGGTCATGTGGGTGGACTGCTCAAGAATGGGATTAATGCCTGATATGTATGGTTTGGATCTGTTGCCCCACCAAATCTCATGTTGAATTGCAATCCCCAGTTTTGGAGGTGGGGCTTTATGGGAGGTTATTGGATCATGGGGGTTGTTGCTCATTAATGATTTAGCATCATTTTCTCAGTACTGTTCTTGTGATAGTAAATAAGTTATAGTGAGATCTGGTTGTTTAAAAGTATGTAGCATCTCCCCGTTCTCTCTCTCTTCCTCTTGCTCTGGTCATGTAAATTGTGGCTCCCATTTTGCCTTCTAAAATGATTGCAGGTTCCCTGAGATCTCCCCAGAAGCTGATGCCACTATGCTTCCTG